GATTTCTTGGTTACCCATGCCAGTAAATAGTTAATCTGACAGAGCCCAAGGCCCTGGAGACTTCTGGGAGGGAGCCAGGTGAGCAAAGAGAGTAGATAAAGACAGCACCTGCCCATGGGCTTGGAACAGCCTAGGGACACTGAGAGAATGTAAACACATTCTGCAAATCTCATTGTCTGACTCTGTGCCAGCGTCTTTTGGGCTCTTGTCATGGAAAATATTTCATCTGAGGTCATTCAATGAGCAAGGGAGACTTGAATACCCACCGCGATGCCAACTCGGCCCCTGCTTTTGTCCAGATTAAATAAGCAAGGGACTAACATTTCATGGGGCTAGAAGATCTACCTTTCAACAATGAAAGGTGTAAGGTAGGAAAAAGGAGACAGGAAGAAAATAGGCTGTGCTGTTCTGAACTGCTCCTGCTCCCCTCCTCCCCCTGTGGCCTCCGCTGTGTTTGTTCACCAGTTACTTACAAGCACACGCCCTGCGTTTAGAGTAAGAGTTAATATCTGTGCTTCCTCATAAATCTCCATTCAGGGCCTCAAGCTATGTTTTTAATTCTGTGGTGCAGCTTTGAGATTTGAGATGAGTGGAAAGGAGGGGCAGCTGACGAGGTAATAATGGAAGCTGCTATTTCTCATTCTTGGGAGCAGTCTTTAGCTCACGCCTTAGCAGAGAATCTTGGGAAGCCAAGGTAGAAAGAAGAGCAGGAGTCAGGGAAGCTGGCTGGGCTGTCCTACGCAAAATGATGCATGGCTTCTCCCACTAGAAATAAAAAGTCACAAAACGAACAAATTTTAAGCCAGAGAAGGCACTGGTAGGGTGTATTTCCTAGTTTAGGAGGAGGGAGAGGAGGCCTTCCTGAAAAGACTCCATCCTGATTAAAGAGATGTTTCCCTCCATCCAACCTGGAGCTACTTTTTGTACTTAAAACATCCTTCTTCACGCACATAGTCCTCTGGCCCTTGTGTGAGTTATTCCTTTGTTATAAACTCACTTCTTCAGCATGCCTGTGCTTTGATACTCTAGAAGGTAAATCTGGTTGGCTGTGGTGACTGAAAATTGTAATTGCCTAGGTTTTCTTCCCTGCCAATAACTGTATTTTAGCATCCTGAGTCACTGAGTAGAACAGATAGTTCACATGGATCTAAAAAGAACTGAGGCCTTTGAAAATTCTAGTTCTTAGGGTGTGTGCATGCAAGTGTGTGTGTTTGTGTGTGTGTGTCAGAGAGGCAGAGACAGAGAGTATGATGTGGAAACCATCCCAGAAAAGTTCCTTCTAACTTAAGAGGGCTAGGATCCTAAAATTGATCATCACAAACATTTCACCAAGTTGGAGAGAGTTGCTCTCTTATGGCGCTGTTGCTCTATTTTGGCCTGTTCCTGTGAGACTCTGAAATTTTCCAGGGACAAAGACCACATTGACTTTCTTACTTCTAGAACTATGAAGATGCATGCCAGATCCAGGGAGTAGAAAGTTGTAATGAGAATATTGCTTCTACCAGGTTTCTATGTGTGTGTGTTGGTTGGAAAAGATGAAATGGTGGCCAAGCTGGCTCAAGAGATCATCTAATTTGCTCCCGGAACATGGGGTCTGGGTCCCTTCTTTCCCTTCAATTGCGCTTACTTAGAGAATGTTCTCAGTAAATGGTGGCATTGAAGACAGAACGTAGGCACAGGTTAGGTGACAACTTCTTAGCTGCCTGGAGACATTCTCAACCAGCTAGAACAGCTAAGGAGCTATGTTATTTTCATCGAAATAAAACAGAATTGAAAGCTGGTTTAAGTTATCTATGGGGAGGTCATTCTGGATAACTTAAGTTCCTGGAATCATAGACACTAAACTAGGACTTGAAAAGCAGGCACAGCACACAGGAAGTATTTCTGGGCACAGTCCAGTGGAAGAAAGGGGTCGATGGCTTTGACAGGCACAGACTCCTGAGACTTCTTGTGTGCCGAAGATCGCCCCCTCCTGTTTGTTCCAATTCACTAGCAGTTCCTGATTTGAAGCCCCGATTAAGTCTGTTCTGTGTTTCCTATAATTACCTCTATCAAGTTAGCTCAAAGCACACTATTGTTTAGATTAAATAAAATAAAAAACATAAAATATGTATTAAGCTTTGGATGTGTTTTAATTGGATAATGCCATATATAGCACACAAAACATCATTTTTTTAAAAGAAAGATTTCTTTTATTTATGTATGGGTATATCTGTGTGCATGTATGTACTTATGTGTGTGTCATGGGAATGGGGCACTGGAAGAGGACACCAGATATTTTGGAGCTGTAGTTGCAGGTGGTTGTGAGCTACCTGATTTGTGTGACATGGTCATAGTTTTTTAAATCACACCCAGTAAGTAAATATCACAAACCCCCAGTGACTAAAGAATGAATGTGAAGGTCATACAATTTTTATTGTATGTATAAACATATTCTGAAGGTTCAGTAAATGAAATAAATCAGATTCCAAATCACTTTGAGATTCAGAAAGGGAAATGTGATCTGTCCATAATCACTGTATTGATTCAAAATCCTGACTGATACAGGACTATTGACAACTTGTTCATTGCACTTTGTTCTTTATTTTATTAGCTTGCAATATTCTCTCTGTGAGCATAAGTTACTGTAGCACAAAATATTTCTGGTCATAAAGGTGTGTTTAGCCACCACTGTTATCCCCAAAGCATGTGCCAGAAGAGAAGCAGACCAAAAGCTACAGGGCCTAACAAGCATCACCTTGAATGACACCCATGAAGTAGATAATCAGTTTTTTATTATTTATAATTTATTTTCGTACAAACTTTATAACAGCTCTTAATGTTGTGGAAAAGGCCATCATCATGGTCAAAATGATCAGATATTTAACAATAATATCCTTCTTGAGTTTTATGCTTGACTTTCATTTAAGGAAAAAAGTGTACTTATTAGGGAAGCTATCTTGAGAGTTTTTTTCATCCCTTTTGGGTAATCAAAACTGTACTTGGTGCAGAAGTTGACATACAGACCAGTAAATAATATTCCATTGTGCAAGTTGTTTTAATTGACTCAAGCCAGAGTGATTCATAAATGAGCAAACATGCATTCATAAAATTTGGGATTTATTGCTAGGGCAGAAAAAAAAAAAAACCAGAAAAATACAAGAATATGACCAGAATCAATACAACATCAGAGAAGGTAGGGCTTGGAAAGGGAATTTCAGAGGCTTGTATCAGATTTTATTTTTCCTCCCTCCCTTCTCTCTCTCTCTCTCTCTCTCTCTCTCTCTTTCTTTCTTTCTTTTTTCCTTCCTTCCTTTCTTATACTTTTTGGGCAAAGGATTATACAAAAACAAAACACACACACACACACACACACACACACACACACACACACATTGAGTTTCAGCTTTCAAATACAATCACCAAATATGTGAGAATTGGGCATTTCTTTCTTTCTTTCTTTCTTTCTTTCTTTCTTTCTTTTCCTCCCTCCTTCCCTCTCTCCTTCCCTCCCTCCCTCCTTCCTTCTGTCTTTCCTTCCTTCCTTTTGTAAGACACAGCTTGGCATCAGCCTGAGAGGTGGGGCTGCGTGAGCCTGTGTGAGACTGTTTACACTCATTTCTGTATGGATAAACATTCAGAAACCACATGATATTCCCAAAGGAATCCTTCCTTAATACAGGAAGTGACAGCTTTGGGAAGGCAACACAATTAAGCTCTGGGTTTTCATTCTCAAAATCCCGGGATTGAATTTCTAGAAGAAATGAGCTGAGAGAGGTGCTTCATGGAGCTGCTTAGAATTTCAGCCAGCTTGGTTCTAAAGCTGGTTGAATGCAGAGCACCTGAGTTTGGCTTAACCTCCAGGTGCCTTTCCGAATCTAGAGCCTGCTGAAAACACAAACTCTAAATTCTGATGGACACATTGAAAAGAAGATGCCGAATACATGCCAGTTCTATTCACTGTAGCCACATCTTCGGCCATGACTGCCTGCCTCCTATTCCTTTTTGACTTTCCCTTGTGTGGTCTTTGTATTTAATGGACGACCAGGCCTGGTTTGTCAGACTATGTCTTCCTTCTGCGAATTAGCAATCAGAGGTTAGGGATAGAAGCCAGCAGAGTCTCTATTAACATTGGCGTGTCTTTTGCTGCAGCTTTATCAGGTAAGTTCTGTGCAGGGAAGAGAGGACAGGGAGACAAAGAAGAGGAGTCATTGACTTAGGAATCTGAGCATTTTGAATGGTCTTCATCTGCTGCAAAGGTCATAGATGGCCTATCATGGTTCTCTCTCTCAGTTCTTCTGCTCACTGCTCTGTGTAAATGATGGCTTTTCATCATGTCATCTCCTCTGTCTCCGAGACTGTTTCCCATTCTTCTTACCTTCCATAATCAGAATGTCACCATGAGGCTAGCACCAGTATTTCCAGCTCTGACTCTTGGCCTGAGCACCAGGATCACATTTACATATGGATTCTCAACAACTTCTTACACATACCCTGCTTGAGGGCAAGCCTGTTCTTTCACCTCCTACATTCCCTAACAGTCTGATTTGAAGGAAGCCACTCACCTTGGTGGAAATAGGCTAAGTGGAGAGTTACAGTGCCTTGTTACATTTTTCTTGTTCATTTCTCTATCTAGTCAAACTTTCTTGTCAGCCACCAGCCCCCAAATAATGACAGAGAGACTTATTATTAATTATAAAATCTTGGTCTTTGGCTGAAGTTTGTTCCTGACTAGCTCTTACAACTTACATTAGCCTATTTCTCTTAGTCTGCATTCTGTCACATGGCTTTTACCTCTCTCCCACTCTATACATCCGACTTGCTTCTCATCTCACTGGTGTCTTGATTCATCCTTAGTTCCTCCCTTTCCCCGGAAGTCCTGCCCATTCTTTTCTGCCTAGCTATTGGCCATTGAGCTCTTCATTAAATAAATCAGAAGGTGCCTTTCATGCATTGTGATCAAATAATCTGCAACATATCTAACAGAAATGTCCAATCTAATAAAAATCTCCTCTTTTTAGGAGACCAGGAGAAGGCCTTAGGATTTGCTGGGGGAGCACAGAGGGGCAGTCTCTATTGTCACGCTGGAACCCGTGGTCCACTGAGGTTCCCTATGCGACCTTCACTGAGCACCCTATGAAATACACCAGTGAGAAGTTCCTTGAGATTTGCAAGGTAGGTGGTACCTGGTCCCATACTAGATTTTTTGGTGAGGCTTTGTGCTTCTAGAACAAGTTCTGTCTTAAAAAACTGTTAAGACCTGAAGGTGAGTAGATAAATATTTAATGCCTCTTTAGACACTTATGTGATGAGTATAGCTATTTTATAGATGTCATAGATAATATTTATGTAACTATAATGTGCCCCTTCCCTCTTGCTATCATCTTTTAATGGAATATTGTAACAAATTACAGTATTTATGTTTGTGCTTGTTTTTATGCCTCCATTTCTCATACTTTCAAGCAGACATTTAGCTCTTTGGGGACAGGGATAGTCCTTTGTGCTATTCTCTCATCTCTTCTCGTAGCCCACAGAGGGACAGTTCTTTATTAATGTAAACAACCTTAAATAGTGAATACATCTTAAAACATTAAACCATTGTTGGCCTAAAAGCAACCACCCATCAAGAAAGCATTCAAGCTCAACACTTCAAATACTATATTTAATTCAAACAACTAATGTGATTTCCTATAACTTAAATTGGGTAATCTATTTATATATAAATGAAATACTAAAGTTCAGGGACACTTTACATAGAAAGTAAACCAGTGGGTGTTGAAAATTTGGTGAAAAATCAAACTATTGTCACAAAACCAAATACACACTTGAGTGTGTACACATAGACTGAGAATTGATTGTCTTTTCTGTCCTTTTTTTAGTGTTTACCTTGACATCTGTCTTTTACTTTAAAATATAGTGACTCATTTAGTATAAATTAAAAACTTGGCAGTTAGTGTCTGGAGTCCTGTTGATGGCACGTAAAAACTCTTACATTAATATACCCATACCTACGTATGCAAATAAATATGTGTGGTGTAAATAAATAACTGTAAATTGTTAAGTGCCCTTGAGGCAAGCTGTCTGTGATTAGAAGCTAGATGGGGTCTTAATTCCTCCTACTAAACAGATAAATTGACTTTGCCACCTTCTACTCCCAGGAAAAGTTGGCGATCCTCTTGGGATTCATGCATGTCTCCTCAGAGGTCATAATTTCATGGTCATCTCTGACTCCAGCTATTGCAGGCACTGAATTAGTTCAGGGATCATGTTGCTACACTTCATGTGATACCCGTTTCACAATCCCCCAACCAAGCCATCAACAGCAGCTCCTAGGCTGACGTTTTACCACCTAAAGCCAACAAAACAAAACAAAGTGAAAACCAAGACCAGCACCAAAACACTTCCACTAAGCCATTCAATAAGAACAGACTTGAGCATGAGTTGAGAGACAGAGTGGGAGTGTGTATTGAACTAAAGTGTCCATCTTCAGATGTGATACCAGCCACCTCCTGTTCAAAAGTCTTTACTAGAAAAAAACACACATGCCTCCATCATACTTTGTGTCCTCTTCAGCCCACACTCTCCCCAAACTCCTGTTTTTCATTGTTATTATTAGTTGCAATGGAAGACATTTATTAAGATATTTGTTAATCCAGACTTAAATATATAATAATGAATATTCTCATGGGAATTTCCTTTTTTAGAGGAAAACTTTTTAATCATTAAAATGATATATATTTTTGTGTTAATAGTTGAACTTCACCATTAGCCAATACAAATCCTTAACTGAGTTAGTTATTACACATGTCACTCCCTGGGACAAGCATTCTCTTGTTCCTTGTACCTACCGGATGCACTAGGTACTTATTTCTAATGGCCTTTACTGGAAGAAGTTTACAGTGAATGACTAAGGACTAAGTTCTGTGGGCAGAGAAATGCGATGGCTTGCTAGTACTTTGTTTTAGTCTTCTACATACAGATGCAATCAAATCATTTTTTTCAAAGAACATGCAAGGTGAAATATTGAAGGAAGTTTGAATCATTGCCTAAGTATTCATGAATGTAGTTGCTAGACTAGAGCAGTGTGTTTAGCTATAGAACTCCCAATGAGTATGTGTGTGTGTGTGTGTGTGTGTGTGTGTGTGTGTACATGCATGTGTGTGAAGCATATACATGCCTATAAAATATTATGAATATTATAATTGCTTGGTTTTTAATCAATCATATCACTTTATGGCCCCGTTGAATGTGTTTATTTTTTTTTCTTTGTTTCTTTTATGACTGTATAGAAGATTGACAGAATTTCTTATGGAGCAGAAAGGGAGGTTTCTTCAAGGGATGAGAATGACAATGATCAAAGGGGGCATTTCCTAAGGCACAATCTCAAGGGATGAGTTTAAATCATGGTTAGAGAGACTATTGCAAGATCATTTTTTCTTAAATTATTAGTCTAAGCTCTGTTTCTCTCTTTCTTTTCTTCTTTCTTTCTTTCTTTCTTTCTTTCTTTCTTTCTTTTTTCCTTCCTTCCTTTCTTTCTCATTTCCTTTCCTGGTACCAGCCTGGAACTTTGATCTGCTAAAACAAATTCTTATTCAAAGATCATCCCAAAGGAAACTCTCTAGAAAAGCAAATGGTCCATCTGGGATGTACTGTCTTTGACCTTGGTCCCCAAGTCTTAGCTTCTTGTTGTTGGTTTGTATGTTATAATTTTATATATCAGTAGGGCTATTCCAGGACTAAGTCTGATTAAGACTTTGCTATACTAACATGGAATAGGAGATTTGAATAGGGTCACTTAGGTGAATCTTGAATATGGCTTATTTGAATATTTTCATGGAATGATCTTTTTGGAGGGTTGAGATATTTTTTTCAATTCCTCTTATTAATAAAATAGAGGAAAATAGGAGAAATGCATAACTAAATCAAAGTCAGGAAGCAATTCAACTCGGTTTTGTAAACATTGTGGCACAGAGAGGAGAAACTATGAAGTTGATTACACAGTCGAAATGTTCAAATTACTTACAAGCTAATGAAACAACCTATTATTTTTTTTTTAAAAAAAACACTCAAACTCATTCCTTCCCACAATATTTCTCTTAGAAACTCTACATTCACTGAACATTTTCTGACATCCATAGAATCAAGTATAAATGTTGCTAAGGATACAAACATAATGAGATAATATTTGAGTCACATGCAAGGCAGTGTTTGACAGAAGCAACAAGTAAATATGCAAAGATTTAAAAATTGAAACTAACTGACTAAACAGAAGTTTGATTCCAGTGAAAAAGAGTGTAGGTCTGTAAAGATGTATATAATGTCCACGGAGAAACTGTAGTTTAGCTGGTGTATAGTCCATAGTTCCCAAATATGAATACACAATGACTTAGATAATAAATATAAGAGCCCAAGTAAGTTGGAGTAATAGTAGAGAGTAAGGAACTTTTGAATTACTCAGCAGGGAGTTTATAAAAACACATGACCAATATGATTCAGAAAATGACAGAAAAGTTAAGCTGAGGTTACTGGGTGAAAAGCTGGTGATTACATTAATTTGAATGGTGGTAACCATAAATGTGAGGAATTAGTTTAGCTTATGAGATATGATGCTTGAAACATCCATAGGATAGCTAGGCCATAAGAACTTTAGGTCAGAATTGCCATAGAGAAAGTTTAACTAGAGATAGACATTTCAGATCAGGTGACAGACACTGTACCAAGGCTGAGTTACCAGGACAGTTTAGAAAGGTACTTGAGAGAGAAGTATTAATACACACAGGTGTTCAAATTCAACTTTATATTATCTGTAAACATTACCTATGAATTTCGAGTTTGTATCATGTGTGTAAAAAAAAAATCTCGATGTCTCCTGTTACCCAGGTGTAGGTCACTTCCACTTCCTGCAAACACAGGGCTCTAATGGCTTCTTTCCAGAAATCCACCTTCCCTACCCACCTTGTAGTCTTTTAAGATCTGCACATGGACCATGTTCTGTACTACACACAATACACAACTGTGAAAATGTAAGATCCTAGATTATTTCACATTTAATCTACATGCATAGTACACAAAATAATCTCACGCATTATATTACTTTATCTTTATTGCTTATGGTATGAGTGATATTGTCATGTAAATCAACTAGCAAAACATCTAATATGGGAATAAATACCTTCTTTGTAAAAGTCAAGACACTTAAGCACAGTGATTATGTAAAGGAACCACACATTCACATCTTAACAGTTACTAATACTTACGGAACTGGATATAAAACTAAAGGATTTCTTTTGTGTATGCCTGTGATGCTCTGTCTCTGTCTCTGTCTCTGTCTCTGTCTCTGTCTCTCTCTCTCTCTCTCTGTTTGTGTGTGTGTGTGTGTGTGTGTGTGTGTGTGTGTGTGTGTGTAGTTTTCAGAACACAGAGTTGGAGTTGATAGGATAACAAAGTCAGAATGAGTGGAAACTTCATGTGTAGAAAAGAAACTTCTGCTCCATCCTGTTTTCTCTGTACACTTTCCACAGGGTCCTTATAAAGCAACTGGTAATTCAGAGAAAATGCACATGGATGCCGTGCATTTTGGCCAGCATTGTAACTTGCCAACATCTTCAGTGTTGGATGTGATTTGCTCTTCATCCCAGGGTGCCTTGCTCTCTACAGAGAAAGGTTGAAACCTGTGGCCCCAAGGCTAGGAAAACCTGCCAAGCTAAGGAATGTGGGCCTGCAGGCATGAAACCTGGTCTCTTTGCCCAGTATAAACAGGAAGCAAGTGATGGTTGTAATACAGAAAACTGAGACTCTAGGCGGGAGCTGCTGGCAGACAACACCTGAAGCAACCAGGGGCCCAGGCACTCAGCTGGTAAATAATGGCTGTAAAGTCAAGAATACTGCACCTCCTCCTCCTCCAGGAACACTACCATGCATGCTTCACCCGAACCAATGCACGGCCCCTGTGTAACTGGAGTTGTTAAAACTTGACCCTCTGTTTTTGAGACAGAAATAAAAGCGGGAGACAGGGGTGGGTGTATAAAAGCTTTTAGACAAAAGTATGTGGCTGGTGGCATTCATATCAGATGACACAGCGTTCCTGTCACATAGATTGAGTTCAGGTGCTTGAAATGCTCAAGAGCTAGCTTGGGGACGTGGCCTTTTGTCTGCCACTCCTTTAAGGAGCAGCTTGTCTCTGTAAGCATGCCTGCCCCCTTTGAGAGTGTTCCAGACATGGCTGGGAATGAAGTGTATCCAATGAAACACAGTGTGTTGAGTTTGAAATAGTGTCAATATTTTCTTTCCAGCACTTAGATTCTGAGACCACAGGGGATTCTCAAGAAATGACGCTTACAATGAGAGCTGAAGAAGTGTTCAGTAATCCAGTTTGACAAACTCTAACCTCTGAGAAGGCATTCTGTTAATCCAGATGGTCTTGGCAAATGGAAAGGTTGATATAATTGTGTTTTACCTTTTAGGAGACTGTGATTTCTTGATGATGATGGTGGTGGTGATGATAAAAGAGCTAATATTTATTGTCTGCAAGAAACAAACTACTTTATGGATTTTGCAATGATTCTGAATACCAGCCTTATCTTATTGCATGCCCTGGCCCCTACTGCTATATATGAGCACATAGCCATTCTCTCTTTCTCTCTCTCTCTCATTTTACCTATAAATTTGATATCAGTATACTCATTTTTAGGGAAAAATATGAAACTCAGGAAGGCTTAATAATTTACCCAAGGGTACACTGCTGGTGAGTACCTTGTTTGCAACTTAACATCTATCTAATCCCAGTACTTCAGGCTATGTATATTGTGAAGCTGTGTGTCCTGTAATTCAGTGAGTCTTTTTTAATGAGATAGGGTCTTGGTGCATAGCCAAGGCTGGCCTTGAGCTTTTCATGCTCCTGCCCTGTGTCTCCTGAGTTTTGGGACTGCAGAGATGTATCACCCCACATTTTAAAAGGAAGAGGCTTTGAATTGCTAAAGGATATTTATTTATGTCTCCTTTTGATTGTCCCAAAATTCTAGAACTAAGGCAAGATGAGACATTTTAAGCAAAGGAAACATAATGAAAAGCTACAAATTACAAAGCTGTATGTTCTTAGTGAGTAAGAATATGTGGAATTTAAACTCTCTCTCTCTCTCTCTCTCTCTCTCTCTGTGTGTGTGTGTGTGTGTGTGTGTGTGTGTGTGTGTGTTGTCACAGGGGGAGGCTGGAAGAGGATAGGATGTGAACAGACATTAGAATGAGTAGAGACTTTTGTGTAGTAGAAATTCTACAGGTGCCTGAGGAATAGGAGTTACAAAATATGTTGTACACTTAAGCTGCAAAAAATATTCTCCCCCATAGTAAAACTACATTTGACTACCAAATAGTAAAAGCCTTGTGACAGCTTACTTTGTAAAGGTCACACTTGCAACTCTGGCTAGAAAACTTGTTAATATATTTAAATGGAGATATCAGTGAAATGCATCAGAAGAAAAGATTATTATTATTATTTTAAATTATTTATTTTTATTTTATGTATACGAGTGTTTTGCCCACATGTCTCTGCATACCATGATGCTGTTGGAGGCCAGAAGATAGTGTCAGATTCTCTGCAACTGAAGTTACAGATGGTTGTGAGCCACCTTGTGGGTGCTAGGAACTCAGCCCAGGTCCTCTGCAAGAGCAGCAAGTGCTTCTAACTGTTGAGACATCATCACTCCAGTCCCAAACGAAAAGAACATTTTTCATTGGCTATATGGGGAGGTATTATGCAAGTGGGAGTCTTGAACTTGGTTTTGAAAGTTGAGAGGAAAATGGGAACCACAAAACTTTTTGGATTGAATTATGAACTGTGCAAGTTAGGTAGAAGTTCAATGGTTTTCATTAATACATCTCTTTTTTTTAAAGTAAAGTCTGACTCTAAACTAATTGTAATGAAAGGAATGAAAATATCCCATGGGTTTGAGTGAAGGGATTGGGGCAGATTACCTGCTTGGCTTGCATTTTCTTTTTCTCCAGCCCAAAGTTACCTATTAAACCAACATTATTAATACTAGCACCTACTCACTTTTCACAAGAGTGATTTGTCACTGAATGATAAGTACTTATCCTTATAGCTACATGAAAGTGTAGTTTTCACCTCTCATCAAAGTAGCTTCCTTTTGGAATGGATGGAGACTTTAACAGAGACTCACAACTGCCTAAAAAGGAAAGATGCCAACCCCAGTTCATATATCTGCAACACAACCCACACACCTAGGGTTTAGTGAACATTGAGGAAAAGGAGTAGAAAGTCTGTAAGAGCCAGCTGACCAGGATGCCTGGTTCTAGCTAGTGTCTTTTAGATATGATGGAAAATATGTATGCATGAGTTTTCAACAATATGGCTTTCTTAACAAGACCTGCATAATGATATCACTGACATGGATGGGGAGAAATTCCAAATGCCCCACCCCTTGAAGAGCTACAAGTGGTCAATGGCTGTAGAGAAAGAGACAGAGACTCAGTTTCCTTCAGGGACAATCTCCCACATAGGTTGTCTAATACCAAACGGTCAGCCTTGTATATGTATACATACACACAGTGCTAAGTGGACTCAATAAATAGCTTACATATATATGTACATATATGTACATGTGTATGTAACAATAGTAATTAAAGAAGAGGTCATGGATTATGGAGGAAAGAGGAAGCATGAGAGGAGTTTGAGGACTATGAGGGACAGGAATGATGTAGACACAATATTTGTATATTTAGTTCTCAAAAAAAGAAAAAGAAAACCAGTAACAGAAGTTCCATGTTGCCACTCAAAGAACATGGTTTGAAATTATGAGATTTGGTATTTTCTATCTGTATCTTTGTAGTAATGAGAGGCATGGATATTTTCTGAGGATTTCCATGAGACAGGAAGGAGGTTGAGCTGGAAGCCATAGCACCCATCTCTTGGACTTTTCTAACTTGCTGAACCTCAGGTCTACCCATGGAAATCTTGCTAGTCTTTCAAGATTGCCTGAGGATCTCGTTTGCCATCATTCTTCACAGGCATTTTTGTCTCTCTTCCTGACTGTGACAATGGACTTTTCCTTACTACAAAAAGTGTATTTTGTCGACTACGTCATAGTCAGTTGTCTTTGAGGGAAGCAGTTGTTCATTTTTGACCTTTTGCACTCAGCAGTGTCCAACAAGTATCTCATTTATAGTAGACTATAGACAAATATTGGTTAAGTTGATTCCTGAATGTTGTACAAGTTATGAATAATGAAAAACAAATACGGCAGATAATTTTACTATGTGTATTCTTTCTTGCCTGAGTACTATTAAAGGTTAAACAAAAGCAATTCCAGCATTTCTGAGGAGTCATTCATGTTTAAGAAGTAAGAGTTCCTGCCCCCAGCAAGGTGGTCTACCTCTTTGGGAGTGACTGGGTTAGGATGTTCAGGAGCTTCCTGGAGTCACTAACTTTATGCTTCTCTTTTTTGTTCTTCAGTTGTCTGGGTTCACATCGAAGCTTATTCCAGCTATCAAGAGTGCTCACAAGAATTCTGCTGGATCTGGAAGAGGAGAGGAACTGATGGTGCTAACCCAGCCTATTCTGATTGAGACCTACACTGGGCTCATGTCATTCATTGGAAACCGAAACAAACTTGGCTATTCCCTGGCTCGGGGGAGTGTTGGCTTTTGAGACTCTTTGTTACAAAGTCCATTATCTGTAGATAACTGATGTGTTTAAATTCACTGCTTTTTTTGGATTGCAATAGTTACTTTCAAATAATACTTAAAAGAATGATTTATTAGTGTTTTAAGATGTCTAAAATCTTGGTTAGACTGGTAGACATTTGAGGAATTATATGAGAGAAATCAAATTTCTGTAAAATCTTCTGATGAAATGCCATCTAATGAGCTCTTAATTTAAAATCTTCGGACAGAATCCATGTTGCAACTTAAATTTAAATTTGCTAAAACTTAAACTTTTGCCTTTCTGTTCCTCACATCCACAGGCACTTTCAACATTTTAGTTTTCATGCCCCGAACCCTGTTTTACTCTCATTAAGCTCCCAGAGCTCCGTTATTATAGCTGCCATTGATAAGGGCACTTTAGTCCCTCGTCCCATCTCTGATATTTATCCCAAGATGCAGGATCTGCCTTATGTCTTCCAGTTATCCCAATATCAGTCCTTCCAATGCTCCCTTGCATTAAGCATTTTCCAAATCCAGACTTCTCTGTGCTATTTTTTATAATCCATCCCTGAAATCTACCAGTTTCAATAGTTTGAATTCTAAGCCAAATGCATCCCATTATAGTAATACATGGCTATGAGGCATAGCATTGTATCCAAGCTTAAAATACATTCTCCTAAGTGTAGAGGTATAATTCATTAGCATAGAGCTTGTCCAAATAGCACAAAGTCTTGAATTTGATTCTTAGCATTGAAAAGAAAAAAATCAAAAATCACCCACAGCTTCCGTCTCAATTCCATCTTTCCCTGATGTGTTGGGCCACGCCTTCAGTTGTTAACATGGTCTTTTAATTAGGATCCCTACTCTAAGGCTTTTCAATTACTCATTCACCTCACTGTCAGTTTCTAGAACACAATTTGTTCATAGCACTCTACAGTTGGTCAATACTGGCCAATAGCTCATTCTATTTTTTTTCAGGTACCTTTTAACAACATATCCTCTTCTAGTGAAATCTTTTGTGAGTGTCTGTATAGGGCACAGCAAAGGTAAGAGTCCCATGGTTACAGTGGGGATGGGACTGGCTTTCTGTTTCATTAGACTCACGATCTCACAGGGTTTTGGGGGCATGATTTCCTAACACTCTTTATTCATTTCATCCCCATCTCTTTTTCCTAGTATTTCTTCTTGTGTTCTCCTGACTTAGCTCTGACTTTGAACAACCCAGAACAGTATTTCATTTCTTTTGTTTTCTCCCTCTTTAGAATTTTAAATCTTACATTTATTTAGCTTAGAAGCTCTGACTGCTGGTCACTGGCAACATTATTACAGAATGTTTTTTGCCTTTTCTGAGACCCAAAGTTGAGACACTTGCCTTGATTGTAAGGTTGAAAGTCACAGCTATTTTACCTCTTGGCTCCTCCTCTTTTACTCTTCTTCTTCCTCTTCTTCTTCCTCTTCCTCTTCTCCTTCTCCTTCTCCTTCTCCTTCTCCTTCTCCTTCTCCTTCTCCTTCTCCTTCTCCTTCTCCTTCTCCTTCTCCTTCTCCTTCTCCTTCTCCTTCTCCTTCTCCTTCTTCTCCTTCTCCTTCTCCTTCTCATTCTCCTTCTTCTTCTTCTTCTTCTTCTTCTTCTTCTTCTTCTTCTTCTTCTTCTTTTAATTTATTTTTTTAGAAAGCTTTCTTCCTCAGATACAAAGAGTCGGGAACAGGCAGTTATCAAATTAGTACACACATTCAAAACCAGAACTTGAATAGCCTTTATTTCATTTTGTTTACTTCCATTACTATTTTGTTCCTTCCTTCATCCCTCTTTGTCACACCTACCTCTTCCCCCATGATGGCAAATATTGTTCAAGTCCCTAAGGCAAGGAACTTCTATTGAGTCTGTGAGAGGAAATGTTGAAATCCTTAGCTGTCCTGTCAACAGTAGTGGAATGAAAAGTCATTCAATTGCTTTGGCAGTGCTTCTGAAGCAGGCATTATTGGCAAATTATTTTAATATTGTTGCCTGAAAATCCCCATATGCCTCCAGGTAGTGGCATTTACTGGCAGAAGCCTTTGAAATGCCCAGCTTATTCTCTTGAGTTACCATTTAAGGGTTTTCCTGATGATAGATGTCCCTGTATGTGTCAGTTCCTTTTGGAAAACTCAGTCAGAGGTTCCTAAGTGACGTTCTATAGGACACAGCGTATCATCCTTAGCCGAAGCTACCTGAAATGGAGGAGAGGAGGGCAGACTGTTTAATGCTGAGATCTGGTATCTGTGTTGCCATCATTTAACACAGAAAGAAGAAACTAGAAACGAGCTTATGTGTTGGCTGCTTCCAGATCCTTTGCCTTGAGACCCAGTTTCATGGTCTCTTTGTTGAAATATTACTCAAGGAGCCACTTTACAGAGCCCTGGGGCTAAGGAAGGCTAGAAACCTGCCAAACCAATGCTTTCATTTCACAGAACATGAAGCACGGGCCTAGAAACTAGAAAAATGTTTAAAAAGATAGTAGATTCTTGGCAACATTGGGATTGGACTACGTTTTCCAGTTCCCATTTTGGACCCACTGCTCTGTCCAATATAGCACTGCCAGTCCCAGGGACGATTCCATTCCGACCCTTGTATCGCACACACACAGTTGGGTTAATTCTAAAGTGAGAAAACAATAGGCCACAGTTGTTTAGGGGGGATTTCCAGAAATTACCTTTATTTTCTTAAAGGCTAGGTCACTCACAGAACACTCTGACTTCCTATCTGATCAAAACGCCCAAACAAAGCTGCGGAAGCCAGTAGAGCCAGCAGATATTTTGTGAGGTTGCTTTACCTCTGCCTGGCATTTTGTAGGGCAGCAGAGAGAGGGCAAAAGTATTAAATTTAGGCTTAAAAGCTCCTTAGAAATTCTTTACACACAAGAGACCACGTTGGAGAAAAGAAGATGACTTATGCCAACGGGAAGAAAGAAAGAGGCTAATGCCTGTGGTTTTCAAAGGTTAAGAACAACAACACACAAAAAAAAGCTCAAGTATTTGCACAGGGATGAATGCTCCCTGGCTTTTGGCCAACGATTATACAAGGGCTTGTGCCCACATCCTGTAGCTGTGGTTTAGGGACGCTGCTCATGAGTGACTTCTTATGCTCAGTGACAGGAAACTTTAGTCACCGATGTGTAAACTCACCTTTGGTCTGCACCTCCCACAATGAGCTCCAAAGACACTTTGGGGACAAGCCTCCAGATTTCCTTGTAGATACCAATCCCTAAGGAAGAACTCCATTTGAAAGTGATTGCAGCTTGATCAATAGTTCTTCTGTCTGGTTGTGACAACCCCTTAAGGTAATTCTGCAGCCAAAAGGGGGAAGTATGGTATTGTCTGCTAGACTCTTTCTTAGCCTCCAAATCCAAGGCAAAAGGTAAGCCACCTTTCAATTCAGGGATGCAGCCAAGATGAAATTTGATGCATGAAGCCACGAGGCTGCTTTTCCCACCTCTACTTGATGCCTCCTATGCCATTTCACACTGAAGTAAGAGATTTCTTACCAAATATTTAAGAAGTCTCCATTTCAGTGACACTGGTTGGAATGCACCAGCTTGGATGAATTCATCTGAATGGATATACGAGGTGTCGAGGTGTCTTCGTGTCGCATTATTGTTTGGAAATTTATTGGAATGGAGTTCTCCACACCATCAAGTTGTTTCTCGAGTCATGTCCACAGTGTTATTTCAGGCAACCCTGAAATTCTTTTCCTTCCTTATACACTCTCTTTCCTCTTCATGGAACATGTGGAACGGTTTGAAAGGGGCCTTGCAGGTTATCTGCTGCTTGGTCTAAGGAGACACTCAAGCATCATAAGAAAACTTCTGCGTAAATGGTCCTGGGCATAGACTCCTCTACCCCCTTCATTTTCACTTCTGCTTATTTACTATGCTTTTCTTTTTTCTTCTTTTTATTTTAATACTTAGAACTGGGCCCAGGTCTCCAAGTAGGCTAGGAAAGTGCTCCACCTTTAAGTAGCTTTAGACCCATCTATTTTCTAAAGCAATTAATTCTATCAATAATGACCTATATCAAGATGATTTCTCTGACTATTGGACTCATATTTCTGTTTGGAAGTGTATTCCGACAGCATCACTCTGTAGCCTAGGCTTATCTTGAGCTCACAGCAATCCTCCAGCTTCAGCATTCTGAGTGATGAGAAGGTGTCCATGAGCTGCCTTCCCAGCCTAATGTTTTTAGCTAGGACTTTCTTTTTCTATTTTCATTCTAGAAGATAAAATGGGAAAGACGATTCCATCATGGTACTCCTAGCATAGGCAGAAAACTTCATCAAGTCCTAAGTAATCTCTATCAGTAGTTGACTGAGGCATGGCTAGAATCAGAACTAGCTCTTCCCTTGTCATCTTCCTCATGGAATCTGAGGATTCCAGTTCAATGGCAGCAACTCCCACTCTGGTCTTTTCTACTAATAATAGCCACTGTGGAGCTGCTCCAGAAGGTAGATGTTCTCCCTCAGAAATGTGCTTCACATTGGTTTGGAGAAAGACTTTCTAGGTATTCTTAGATGATCTAGAGCAGTAGCTCTCCACCTGTGGGTCTTGACCCCTTGGGGGGGGGGTCAAAAATGACTCTTTCACAAAGATCGCCTAAGACCATCAGAGAACATATTTACATTGTGATTCACAACAGTAGCAAAATTACAGTTCTGAAGTAGCAATGAAAACATTTTATGGTTAGGGGTCACTACAACATGAGGAGATGTGTTAAGGGTCACAACATTGGGAAGGTTGAAAATCACTGCTCTAGAGGCTGGCTGGGAAGGTTTCACAATGAAAGCACTTTAGAGTCCCAATTTCCCTAGACTTTTGGACATCCTCCTCTGCATTTCACCTTCATTAATAATACCTCATTTGGTTCATGTTTTAGTCAATTAACATACCAAATTATCAGAATTCATAGTGCCTCAAATACCCCAATGATCGAATATTGACTAGTTAAAAAAATATGTCAGTACTCTCTTGGGAAGCATGGTATTTCTTTTTTTGTTGATATTGTTTTATTTAAATTAGAAACAATCTTATTTTACATATCAATCACAGTTCTCTCTTCCTCCCATCCTCCCATGCCTGCCCTCCCATCCTACCCCCCATCCACTCCCCAGGGGGAGTAAGACCTTCCATGGGGAATCATCAAAGTCTGGTATTTTTGACCTAAAATATTTTGAATGAGTTCCCATACACAGTTCCAGTTTTCTGTTTAAATGAATTGGCAAAACTTTGAGGTTAACTGGGTTTCTTATATCTTTTTGACTGACATTTTAAACTTAATTTTTAGGAGATGATTTGTGGTATAAGTCTAGAGATGATGTAGAATAAGAATGGCATGTTAGGTCAGACACAACTGCATCTGCTGGTCCAGAATGTGTGTGTTTGTTCCCTAGTGCCTGGTGTAGTTAGTGATATGATGTTCTTGCTCTCCTTCTCACTCTCTCACTCACTTTGTCTCTTGGTTAGTTATTACCCTCTTGATACAATTTAAAGTCGACTGGAAGAGGGTACCTTAAGAAATCGCCTCCATCACATAGGCCTGTATCAAATCTGTTGGGCATTTTCACGTTTAATGATTGATGTGGGAAGACCCAGGCCACAGTGGGTAGAGCCATCCCAGGGAAGCTGTGTAAGAAAACAAGCTGAACAAGCCAGTAAGCAGCACTTTTCCATGGTTTCTGCTTTGGTTCCTGCCTCCAGTTTCCTGCCTTGTCTTCCCTTAATGATGGACTGTGAAAGCCTGTAAACT